TGCCAATGCACCCCAATATGTCATTAGTCTTCTTAACTACAAGGGCACATTGTTGACTCATATCCAGCTTCTCATCCATTGTTATCCCCAGGTCCTTTTCTGTCAAACTGCTGCTTAGCCAGTTGGTCCCCAGCCTGTAGCTGGTGCTTGGGATTCCTCCATGCCTACTGCAGGACTCTGTACCTGTCCTTGTTAAATCTCATCAATTTATTTTGGCCCATTGCTCTAATTTGTCTAGGTCACTCTAGACTCTATCCCTAACCTCCAACGTATCTACCTCTCCCCCTCACTAAGTGTCATCCATGAACTTGCTGAGGATGAAATCCATTCCCTTATCCAGGTCATTAATAAAAATGCTGAACAAACTGGCCCCAGAACCAATCCTTGAAGCACTCCACTTGATACCAACTGTCAATCAGACATCAAGCTGTTGATCACTACCCACTGAGCCCAATGATCTAACCAGCTTTCTATCAACCTCCCAGTCCATTTATCCAATCCATACTTCTTTAACTTGTTTGCAAGAATACTGAGAGACACCATATCAAAAGCTTTGCTAACGTCAAGGTATATCACATCCATCACCTTCCTTATATCCACTGAGCCAGTTACTTTGTCATAAAAGGCAATCACGTTGGTCAGGGACGAATTGCCTTTGATGAATGCATGCTAACTATTCCCAATCACTTTTCTCTCTTCCAAGTGCTTCAAAATGGATTCCTTAAGGATCCTCACCCCCCACGATTTTTCCAAGTACTGAGTTGAGGCTGACCAATCTGTAGTTCCCTGGATTGTCCTCCTTCCCTTTTTTCCTTTTTCTACATTTGCCTTTTTCTAATTGTCCGAGACCTCCCCTGATTGCCACAAGTTTTCAGAGATAATGGCCAATGGCTCTGCAATCACATCAACCAACTCCCTTAGCACATTCAGATGCATTAGCTCTGGCCCCATGGATTTGTGTATGTCTAGCTTTTCTAAATAGTTCTTAACTTATTCTTTCTCCACCAAGGGTTGCCTATCTCCTACCTGTACTGCGTTGTCTAGTGCAGCAATCTGGAACCTGACTTTGCTTGTTAAAATAGAGACCAAAAAAACCCAAAACATTGAGTACTTCAGCTTCTCCCACATCTGACATCATCTGTCACCAATTTACCTCCCTCATCCAGTAAGGGTCCCACACCTTCCCTGACCACCTTCTTATTGCTAGCATGCCTGTAGATGCCTTTTTTGTTACCCTTCACATCCCTTGCTAGCTGCAATTCCAGTTGTGTTTGACCTTCCTTTGCATGCCCGAGAAGTATATTATACTCTTCCCTAGTCATCTGTCCAAATGTCCTCTTCTTGTAAGCTTTTTTTTTCTGTTTAAGCTTGCCAAAGATTTTGTTGCTCAGCTAAGCTTGGTTGCCTACCGTATTTGCTTTTCTTACTGCATATTGGGATGGTTTGTTCCTCCACAATCAACAAGGCTTCTTTAAAATACAGCCAGCTCTCCTGGATTACTTTCCCCCTCATGTTAGCATCTCAGGGGCTCATGCCCATCAGTTCCCTGAAAGAATCAAAGTCTGCATTTCCGAAATCCAGGATCTGTATTTTGCTGCTCTCCGTCTTGCCTTTGGTTAGGATCCTGAACTCGACCATCTCATGATCACTGCTGTCCAGGTTGCTACCGAAACATACTTCCCCTACTAATTCCTACCAATTAGTATATTGATTATTATACTGAGATAAAATAAGCCTTTTTGTTTACATAGTTACCCACCTCTTGATTAAGTTTTGCTGCTAGTTATTAGCAATAACCCTATTTGACAAACCTCTTTGGTCTTTTCTTCACTGATAGAATTTGGTATTTTTTAAACATTAAAGAATCCTACTTTGCTTTTAGTTCTCATAATGGTGTACATAATCTATGTGCCTTATCAGGGTTGCTATGGTTAAAGCTTTACAGTTATTTCCTTTATAAACCATATTCATCTTTTACAGTATTGGATTATAACAATTTTAATCTGGAGGAATGTAAATGTAGCATTAAAGCATTAAGTATTAAAATGCCACAATGTTCAGGATGAAGCATACAAAATATTCAAAGCTATTACAGGTAGTTCCTTCTTTATTCAACTTATGGTGACTGGAAGAAGGAATAAGGATAAAATTAGCCTTACTTCATTAATTCCCTTTCTTTTCCCTCTTTATATATATTTTGTGTGTGTGTGTGTGTGTGTGTGTGTGTGTGTGTGTGTGTGTATCTACCTATATTAGTAAGCTTCAGCTTTTGTGTTTTATTTTCTTTCAGATCTATAAAAATGAAATGCAAAATCCATATGTAATACAACATTAGCTGCACACAGTTCACAATAAAATGAGTCAGAAAAAAGAAGTTAAATATTAAAAACTATGGGCACAAGACCAAAATGGGAGCTTTAATGCAACTTTTAAAATACATTTAAAACCTAGATGTAAAATATATTTTTGCTTGCTTTCTTGCATTATACATTCACAATTTGTCTGTTAAGAAAAATGGGAACATCCAGAGAAGCAATGGGATTATGATATTGGAGCTTCAATGCAATGCAATCTAATTAAAAATAAAACTATTTTTGTTAAAGATTTTGTGCTCTTTCAATTACAGGCTGACGTAGCTTCGCACATGCATGAGACTTCCAGTAAATGATCAAGTAAAAGGTGACACTGGACTCACGACACATTTATAGACACCAACAAACTTTCAGGCCACTTTTATAAACCATTAAACAATAAAACAATTCACATGTCTATTTTGCCACCTTTGGAGGTCAACATAGAGACATAAGTATAAAAGACATTGGGTGGGTATTTCTCAGTCTGCACTAAGAATGCAATGTTGTGCACCATATGGTCAGAAGCAGCATAAATGATGTTTTTTAAAACAGAGCCAAAACAATTTCAGTAAGCAGTAAAGCTGCGGAGGAGCAGGTGGGAACCCCTGAAAGACAAGTCCCGTTAATAAATAAAGCAAAATGCAGTCTCTCTCTCTATTCTGATTGACTCAAAAACAATAGTCAAACAGGGTGCAATTCCTTCTCTATTTTGCTTTGGGAAGTAGCCATCAAGCAGCTACTTATGGCCTTGATTTACTTCCCCTTTTCCTGGGTAAGGATGCAAGCCACAGTCTGGATGGGGTAGCCACAAACCATAACCACTTACTACAGGGCCCTGAACTGGAACACATACCCTGAACTGAGTCTGGGTTGCTCTGCCAGCTACTGCAGAATGGTACTGCTTAGGGTAGTGAACTGCAAGCCTGCTTGGGGCATTGCGGGAGTCACAGGGTCAGGGAGACAGGCGTGAAGACTGTCGGATGCTGTTTCAGCAGAAAGACTTTGAAGGACACTTCCTCCAACCTGGAAGGGCAATCACAGTGTGTTCTGGTCTGAAGCCTGAGTCATGATGCAGCTGTGCTGCAACTCTGTAAACAAGAGGAGACAGAGCTGCAGATGGTAGGGGAAAAAAGGGATGGGGTGTTGAACTGGGCCATGCTAATCTCCAGGACTGCTGGAAGAAATTGCCATCCTGTGGTGAGTGGAAAACCCTATGACACCTGCTCCAATAATCACTTTTGTTAAAAAAAAATCTACTTTATGATATGCCCACTTAGGGTTGCCACCCATCTGCATTTTACCCAGACAGTCTGTTTTTTAGATTCTGTGTTCAGATGCCAAATTGTGGGGCAAGGGAAGAGATGGAACTGCAGGGGATATTGTGGGTCCAGGTCAGCCCCCATGGAGGGTAGGTCAGGAGCACTACCCTTCTCCAAGAAATCCTGGCTCCTGGTCCTATGCTTGGGCCTCAGCCCCAGCCTCAGTATGGCTCCACACCTGGATGTGGGTCTGGCTGCCAGCTCCTACCACAGCCTGACTGCAGCTCTGCCCTGCCCACAGGTCAGTCCCTGTCTCTGCTCTCAGCCACAGAAAATGCCACCTTACCCCGTCGCATCCCACCCCACAGCTGCACCCAGCTCTGAAGAGAGAGAGGGACAGGGGAGTGAAGCCCTCTAAAGTTTGGGGACCACTGCATTTAGGGTTGTTAGGTGCATGGTTTTCATTTAGAAAGCCCAGTAAAAGAGGTAACCTGTTAGTGTGTGGTCAGAAGTACTGCCTGTACACCAAAAACCTGTTTAAAGAGAAAACCGGGGGGAGGGGAGAAGGTGCTGGGTCATTAACCCAGCCCCACCCCTGGAGAACTAGGGTTGTCTTTTATCTCCATGCAGAATTTCATGTCAGGCTGCAGCCGCTCCCTTTCCAGCCCCAGAGCAGAGGAAGTCTAGCTGGGTAAGGGGAAGGGAAGTGGAGATGAGCCAATGAGAAATAGGAGGGAAGAGGTGGGGCAGAAGACATGGCCTCAGGGGTCCAAATACTGGAAATTAGACAGAAGGCAACACTATGAGAGATGAGAATTCAGATATTTTGTAGAGCACTGTGTGTTTAGGACAAGAGGAACATTACTAAACATCGTACCATTTCCTCAATTGCTCTTGTCAGCTTGGACGTTCTGCTCGTATACCTTGATTTTGAACGCTTTCCCATCTAGGTCAGTAAATCTTCCTCTTTCCAGTTCTATAATATTTTCTATTCATATTTATGCTTTAAATCCTCATCCATCACTTTTCACTGTGAGTTTTGCAACTCTCTTCTCTATCGCTTACCCAGATCTCCATATTCCAGGATATGCCAAATGCTTTGTCATACATACAAAGGAGAATGTAAGATTATGTAAAATTCCAGGATATAGCTGAAACTTATCTTCACTTTATTTTTTTTCCAGGCACTCTCTGAATTTGCCTGATAGATGATTTATTTTATATATTATCATCTTTAAAAAGATAATCAAAGTTGTTGGAAGCGGTTGTTGTTGTTTTTAAACAAACCCTTAGTTGTGACATTTTTAAGTGGAGTTGGGCTCTATGATTATCATAATCCCTTACTTCACCAATGGAAGTTTTTAAAATACTGAAGGTAAGATCTTACCCGTGCCTTTTGCTCCATCTCCATCATAAGCCTTTCATGTTGCTCAGCTATCGCCAGTGTTGCAGAATGGACTTTCTGATAGATCATCTCTCCTTCCCTCGTCTGAAAGGTGAACAGTCCCTCTCCTGTGTCACACATCCTGGGATAAAATTTAAGGAGTGGCAGGAATGAAAAAAAAAGTGAGTACTTGTTTCATAGCAGCAAAAAAATAATGTGCTGACCTCTATAATTCATGTGCATGCCCTGATGTTGGAAATGCCTTCTCAACTTTCATAGCTAAACTGGTGGCATTTTGAACCTCTGCATGGTTACTTCTACCAGTGCAGTAATGTACTATAAGACACGTGTGCACAGAACTTTGTGAAGGTAGACTTTAGACATACAGCAACATAATCTGAACCAAAAGAAAGGTGCCTTTATAATAAATAAGAAACCTTTAGTAATGCAGTCAACTATTTATGACATTGTTTCAGAAATCTATACTGGTGATTAGGCAATTAAATGTAAATACCTTATCACTTCAGTAATGCCAAACGTACAAGGTACATTATGAGTCCATTAACAGAGCATGGACGCTTCAAAAATGCCATTGTGGTCTATCATTGGAAAGAGCTTGTATTGAGAGATAGCATTAAAGGAATAAAGAGATAATATTCATATTATTGGAGTTCATTTGCACAAAACAGCTTTAACAACTAGTTTGACGTTTACAGAAGCCATTCAATAAGAATATATTCTACATTATGAATATTAGGGGTATTATACAATTAAATTAAAATAACACAAATCATAATAAAATAATATTTTCTTCATTTTTGAAGGTAAGTGCCATATCATCACACTCTGGATCATCCTGCATTTCCCCAGGACAATAGATGGAGGAAGAGGAAAGGTAGATAAGATGAATAGCTGACCTGGGAAAGATTTATAAATGTGAATAAACATTCAAAGATGTGGTAGAAATTAATATTGAATATTCAAAAGGAAGAACAATCTGAAGAAGACATTTATGATCTCAGTTTTCAAAGAAGCCTGTAACTTTGCCCTTGCAATGCTGCATGTGCACCGATAAAATCTACATTTATGCATGTAAATGGAATTTGTTGGATAATGTGAGGAAGTGGTGTGGTGATTCAAAAATGCATGTGCTATTGTAGAGACTAAGCTGAAATCTGTTCCTTAGTTTGATCCAGTATTAATAAATCAATTGTTTTGGTACCATTTATGATAGGAAAATGTTTGATTTTCTAGGACATTAGTAAAAAAATAAAAATAAAAATAAAATCAACAGCTCAATAACTTCTGTTAAATGTCCAAGGCAAAGAATTTGAAAAGTCACTATTGATTTTGGGTGTGTCTGTATTTTGATGAACCACCTGAAATAATGTTAAATGCATCTAATTTTTCACAAAGGGCATAGCACCCACATTCTGAATCTTCAGTGCTTCATGTCTAGCAACGAAAAATCAAGGCATTCCAAATCACTAGTCACTTTTCAAAATCCTGGCCTTTAAAAAGTTCCTACAGTTTTACTGATTAATTTTTCTTATTAAAAACAAAAGTTGCTTCTACATTAATAAAAAAATTCTAATTCTATATGATCTTAAATATCCCATTTTAATAAACACCCATGAATAAATCCACTTGCCAGACTAAGCATATGCATTAAAGTTGGCCATAAAAATAGACTGAAACTTTAATATATTTTTATCTCTTACCAAAATTTTGATGCAAAATTCATTGCAAATTTTGAATATTTTTGACCAGCTTCAACATTAGTAACACCTCTTTCCAGTCCACAGTATTATTTCTGTATTGAATCATTGTATTAAATATTTATGAGGAGGGTGTTTAGCTGGCCCCTTTGATGACATCAAGACTGTTTACATAACCCATCAGGTGAGCACTAGACCTAGTTCAGGAGTTTTTCCAGGAAGGTTCATAACACCAGTCCAGATCAATCTCTAAAAATTATTTAATGGGATGGGGTAGGGAGGCTGGCAGAAAGATTTTTGGTGCAAATATTTGCTAACAGACAATAAAGATGTGAAGTTGAAAGGAAAAAAGAAAATAAAAAAATATCCACTCTAAAGTCTACACTCACTTTAATATACTGTATTTATTGCCATTTGTGAGGCAAAAACCAACCAACCAGATTCAATCTGTTTATATAAGGAGCAGAAGAGGGTTACTAGCAAACTTGGCATTAATTCAACAGGCCAATTTGAAGCAAAAACAAAAAGATTTATATTAAATTCCACTGCAGACTAAGGTCTTTCTATAAACATAGAAAATATTTTATGTATTTAGTCACAAGACTCCAAGGAGCTTTTGGTACAAATGAAATGTCTCAAGAGGTTTGAGACATTACAGCAACAGCATTTTCATTCCCTTAGGGCATCATATAGCTGGCATTCAGCTTCTGTGTAAAGAGATCTTAATAAAATTCAAATAGCGTGAAATGGAAAGTCTGGAAAAAATGATGAGTTTCACAAACTGAAACAAAACACTATCTCTTTGTTGGTTTCAGAGGAGGAAAAAAAATCAACAGGGACCACAACAAGAAAACAATGAACAGGGTTTGATTAAGATTCAAGAGTTAAGCTGCTTATTTTAACAAAGCAAAGCATAATCACTAGCCAGAGCTGAAACAATCAAAAGCTTCTCCTATCAACCTAAAAAGCAACAAGCAATGAAACTAGCCCATGCAATGGTATGACAGCTCTCAATGGTGAAGTCTAGCATGGAGGTGGTGTCTTCCAATTGGAAGGAACCAGGAAGCATAATGTGTTGTATTATGCCAATATGAGGACGTTTTTTATGGTAGCCTTCCAATAAATGTTAAATCCCTGGCTAAGGATCTTCTATGCACGCAGCTGCTAAAATGGGGGGAAGGGGAGGAGAATAATAAGCCTCATCCTCTAAAGTGCTGAGCAGGCTTATCCCCCTTTGAAGTCAATGGGAGTTGAAGGCATTCAGCACTAGAGCTCTGCCCAAAAAATTGGGCAAAAATTTTTTTTCCTGTTAAAAAAAAGTCATTGCATTCGAACCAAAACAAATGAGGATACAGAGACTTGAACTTGGGTTCCCTACATATCAGATGATCACCCTAACTGATGGTTTATTAGCTGTGTGGTATCTGTCTCATTCATTTTTTTTTCAGAAAAAATGTGAGAGGTTTTGATTTTGTTCTTCAACCCATCAAAGCCAAGACTTCTTTTTTCTAATGGAATGGTTTTCAAGCCAGCTCTACTCAGCCCCATGGAGGTCTGACCCTTCTAAAAGTAAAATGGTCTCTGGAAATACTCGGAGGGACATAGCTCCCCGATTCCACTGGGCTTAATACAGACGATCACTCAAAGAGGTGAGTCCATTCCATGGATAGTGTACAGCAGAGTCTTCTTGCTCAGCTCTCTGCATTATTAGGAAACAGTAAGGTAACCCTAATTACTTGTGCGCTGTATTGTTTTCCTCAAATGGCAAGTGGTTAGGCTAGAAATCAGAGTCCATGAATTATGAAATGTAGCGCATTGTAGGCTACATTAACCCTAGCTAGAACAGGGAGATGTAACTTGTACCAGAGAAATCAGCTATAGCTTGAGGTGTGGCATTGATTCTTAAGGGCAGAGATGAAAGCTGGTGTTTTTCCCACTGTTGGTCTACCTCAGGAACTACGCTAGGAAAGGGCAGCTTTACTTCTGCTGGGAACTCTGTAGTAACCTAGCCCACAGAGACTGCCAAGCGTCCATTCAGTCAGCACATTTCTAACTGCTGTGCTTACACATACACCAGCTAGCACTGACCACAGTACAATGCCCTGCAGAGCCTTTACCATAATCCTGTATTCCGTCTGTCCCCTTCCCCATTGCCCTGGTCCATTGTAGACTGGCTACTTTTCAGACTTCCAGGCATTTACAATGAAACTTCCTCCTCTCCATCTTGGTTTACACTGGCACAAATGGAGGTACACTGAATGCTATGCTACAGTTTGTGCAAAACCAATGACTCTTGTACATTCAGGCTCTGGGTTACAGTTAAATCTGTTTGCTGGTTTCTTATATTTTTTAATAAACAGCCCAAAGAGAAAGAAGCTAAACTAACCTGATGAATGAACGCAGCTTAGGTGTCATCAAGAAAAAATGTGGGGGTCTGCAGAAAAATCTCATTTTGCCAAGAAGTTTCTCTCAAAACCTGCAGTGAATGCTTATGCACTTTCAGTGAATGCTTATGAACTCAAAATCAAACAATTACCTTCTTATGTACTAAGGCATAAGTATTCTGTACTATAATACAAGGTGATGAAATTCTTAAGAGTACACCTTTTGTGCACAGCAGATCTAGGCAATTAACAGTTTTATTCAACTAACAGCTGAATCTACTTTGTCATTTAGCTACACTACTTTGCAGATTTGTGTCAGGAGACACATAACCACTGTCATGGAACTCTTTACAGTGGGTATAAACATAGTTTTATGTGCATGAACAGAATAAATTGCAAAGAGAAAAGCGGAGACGCACATAAGAATACATACATTGGGTCAAACTAATAGTCCACCTAGCCTAATACCTTGTTTTCTGACAATGGCCAATGCAAGATGAGGAGAACAGGACAATTATTGAGTCATCCTATCCCAGCATCTTGTAAGGATTAAATGTTAAAACCAGAAGCATACAAAGTTTTTCAAATGAAAAAATAATTCATTTGAAAAATAGCCTTTCAAAATAGACTTTAAAATCAGAAAAGACTATCATGATAATCTAGTTTGACCTCCTGCATGTTGCAGGTCACAGAACCCTCACCCACCTACACACCCACCCCTATGAGAGATGCTCAACCTCTGGCTGAGTTACTGAATTCCTGAAATCAAGATTTTAAGACTCCAAGTTGCAAAGTATCCAGCATTTACACTAGTGTAAACCTGCAAGTGGCACAGCAGATCTAGGCAATTAACAGTTTTATTCAACTAACAGCTGAATCTACTTTGTCATTTAGCTACACTACTTTGCAGATTTGTGTCAGGAGACACATAACCACTGTCATGGAACTCTTTACAGTGGGTATAAACATAGTTTTATGTGCATGAACAGAATAAATTGCAAAGAGAAAAGCGGAGACGCACATAAGAATACATACATTGG